ATCGTCTAATGGTTATGTCCCCTAACACTAGCTTTCCTACAATTTTTTTTTTATACCACAAGTTCTTGTGTGAAGCGGTTCACCATTAGGCGAGTCAACCCATTTTTTTGATAATAAAATATCTATATGAAATATCATACATGTTTATGTTATTTTAAAGAGTATAACATTTTAATTTTAAAATATACATATATATTAATTAAAAATATGACTGTTTATTACGCGGAATAACCCAAGAAAGTCGAGTCATTGGAAGCATGAAAAGATTTTGTGTCAATTGGTGGGGACAATCCAATTATAAGTTAATCAAAAGAAATGTTATATCAAAAAGAAATGAATATTGTGTAAGTTCTATCCCAACTTTTAGAACATGGAGATCACACCCACTTTCCTGCACGCTACCTACAAAGTACAAACAATTAATTAATAATGGTTTTTGGCAAATTTAAATTCCAACTGCATGCCTTAAAGTTATAACTAAAAAACTATAAAGTACATAAAATAGTATACAAATCTTCTCACTTTTGTGATTAGTAGTAATTTTGAGATTAATCGGCTTATGATGAATAGGATAACCCAAGGCACATTTTATTCTAATATTTTTCTTAGCATCTATGTTTTGTTGTGATCACAGTTTGAGCGTAATTTGCACACTTCTAAAATAATAAGAAAGAAAAAAAAAAAAGAAGATAATTAATCACAATTCTCAGCCTCAGGACATCATATAATAGTGAAGTTTTCTGAGTTGCAGAGTGCAGACATTCTCAAAAAGAAAAAAGAAAAAAAAAGAGAACTATATATTTCTAAAGAAAATAAATGAAAATAATTTACACAGTATATATAAACCTAATTTGATCGAACTCAATGTTCGAGCTCATTGTTAACAGGTTGTCTTTTTCTTGGTAACGAGTAATCCTCAGACAAAAACCCGGCAATAGCGACGGGCCTTTTCCCGCCCGTTGATACGATTTCCATCTGCAAACGTCGATTCAAGAATGCCATAGCATTATCAAAACCTGCAAATGTGTTTTGTGTACAATATATATGTAAATTAACCCAGAAGAGTAAATGCAGAGGACATTATAAACTATACTGATAAGATAAAGTATAAACCATCATCAGCTTACCTATTTCAGCTGATAATCTCCTCTGCATGAAAAGCAAACAGAGAAAAAATATGACATTCCTTATTATGAGTACCAAACCCATATTTATGAGCTTCACTTAGTTAGTACTTCAATTCTCTATATAATGAGCTATATAAAGAATACTTTGTCTACAAATTGGGCCCATCTAACTAATTGAAGTGTTGGATGGAATCTTTGTCTGGTCCTTGAGAGGATTTTGTTGAGTCATAAGGGATGCAAGAAGTTTTGTCATTTTAGAGCTTTTTTTTTGGTTATTTATGAAGCACGAGTAATGGCATCACTCAGTTTCTTCTAAAAGAATAAAGTAGTGTCTGTTGTAAGGGCTCCACAGCCGACTTAGAAAATTTCATCTGTTTGTTAACTGCACGGATCAAAGCTATCTGAGCTAGGCGTGACTACTATATGGGATTCTATATTATATTATTAATTCATTCAAATTTTCATGGCATTAGTTTATATGGTTTGTTATGAGTAATGTATCTTAAGGTGTCCATTAGTGTATAGGAACACATGTTCTTGTCCGGTGACCTGGAAAGTGAGGTGGCCAAAATATGTAGGAAAAACTTTTATGTATTCGTTTTGAGTGACAATTTCAAGATTTTTGAAAATCTGAGATTATTATTTTTGTTTTTTCATTCAGCTAGAATTCTTAGAAATCTCTCATGCCAGGTGATGGGATTTGGTATATGATTTCGCTTATGTAATTTTGTCCAAGTCTTGGATTTGGTGTGAGATTTCGACTTCGTATAAGAATTTTGTTCTTGAAATCTCAGCAAGTCTTACGTGAATCCAAGTGATAAATAAATACCTGGTAACCTTTTAAAACTTTTTCAAATCTCAAATGATCTAGACTTTAACTTTTAGCAGTATAAATAAATACCTCGTAACAGTATCGATTTACCCCAGCCAGGTGAAAAAATTGATGTTCTAATGGAACAAAAGAGTTAAAACAAGTGAAATTACAATGGCCTCACCAAACAAGGAGAAAGAAGAAAGCAAAGTTGTGGAAAAAGGGAAATTACAGTAGGTCTTTTTGTTCTATTCCTTCTTCCTCGAGTCCTTTAGCTGTCCTCTCTTGCGAATGCCAAGGCAGAACCTCAAACGCCAAGCATCAACAACCCATTCTGGCAAAGTTTTTGCCAAAGCCCATAAGATGGAATGTGGCCAATAAGGAGTGCACCGAGGTTCGTAGCCTATCCACCTTAGTCCCGCACGAGCATAGCCGTCGGTTGACGGGACAAAAAATGACGATCTTTTGATGGATGCCATCTTTGTTGCCACGTATAATGGTACCTATTAATAATAATGACTATGTCACAAATTTCGGATGTGTTATTATGTTACTTAGAAGAAATCCCATAAGGGTTCTCATTTAAGTTTGATAGTTGTTTTCTTTTCGGCATGTTGTATTCATATTCTGTCATTTGGCAGCAAATTAGTCGTTTTTTCGTTCGTTTCATCAGCTTCTCGATGTTCTAGCCTAGATATGTACCAAAAACTGAGTTTTGTAGACTACATCAGAACAAATGATGACATTATACTATAACCTGATGAAAAGTGAAAAAAGAAAACCAAAAAAAATGAAGAACACTACTTGCAGAAGATAGAGATTATGTACCTGGCACTGCACATCAATCCCACTATTCTTGTACTCCACATAGAGGCATCGAGAGAATTGGTCCACATATCTGCAAGATTATCCATCGAAATTGTGTCACTATCGGTTTTCTAACAGAATAAATTTAAACTCCAGTCCTCTCTATATATCTAAGCCTTGATGGGATCTTATGATGAAAAGTTCCCATTTTCAGAATCTTGGTTTCTCAAAATTCACTAGTTCAGTACACAAAACAACACCGGTAACATAGATCAAGTATTTTTATTAGAAAACACCAAAAATCATTACAATCCCAGATCCTCTCTTCCAGTAGAGTAATCAGAACATAAGATAGGTACAGAGCATAGGCTAATAACCTCGATCTACATGTACTACTAAGCCAAATCCTAATATCAAGCTAAAAAGAGCAAAAAACAAAGCCATTTGACAATTCACTTCTTAGTCATCTTGATAAGTCAAGTAACCAAGTGTTAGAACACATAAAGCCACTGGAAATCCACAAGAACAATCACCCCGTTGCCAGGGCTACTCGACGAGCTCACCAAGTAACAAGCTTGAGTTCAAAAGACTGAATTTCTACCAAAACAAAACAGCAAACATAAAAACACATCAAACCCCAAGAAAGTGACAAAAAAAATGGCAAAAAAGAGAGGGTAAAAAACTCAAAAGTAAAAAAACTCACGCTTTTGTAGCAGCATAAACCGAATAAAGTGGATCAGATGGAATGACAAAAGCAGCACCGGATCCAATATTCACAATAGCCCCCTTTTTCCTCTTCACCATCCCCGGCAAGATAGCTCGGGTCACTTTAGTGGTACCCTCGACGTTTACCTTAATCAAATCGCTCAAAAGCTTGTCATCCACCTCGTGCAAGAACCTCGCGTACGGATACGACATGCCAACGTTGTTAATCAGAACCCCAACATCCAAACCCTCGATGGCATTCTCAATCCTCGAGACGCCGTCATCCAGATCCCCAGAAAAATCCACCACCACGTTCTTGATCTGGGTCGACCCGTATTTGGATTTGATGGACTCCGAGACCTCGTTGAGCTTCTCCGGGTTACGCCCGACCAGGACCAAGTTCAGCCCTTTCCTCGCGAGCTGAAAGGCGAAGGCTTTGCCGATGCCGTCGGTGGGGCCCGTGATTAAAGCCCACGCGCCGTATTTCCTGAGGTTTTTGCCGGGTCGGAGGAAATTGACGTAGACCCATTTGAGGATCGAGATTGAGAGCTTGAGGAGGGAGAAGGTGGATAGTGATAGGAGGAGGAGAAGCCATGTCGGCTGGGATTTGAGCTGTTCGAAGATGCACTCCGCCATGCGAGTGTAAGCTATGAATCTCGGGTTTTTTTGAAACAGGGTTATATATCGTAGTTAGTTATTATTAGGTCAAAATGGGAAAATGAACTCTTTGTAGAAAATAATTTCCATTGTTTTCTTTCTTTTCTTCTTCAATCACCCAAGGTTTCCTTCTTAATTTTCAGTTAATGTCCAAGTACTTTAATTTTACATGTGTAGTTAATTAGTTATGATTTATTATAATTTAACTTAATTTCAAAAGAATTATAGTTATTTGAGTTTGTTATTTGATCTGAAGCATTTTAATGGTACTTGTCAAATTATATATTCAGGCCTGGTTTATAAATTATTTCATTCTCATTCAATTCATACTCAAAATCTAACTCAACTTTAACCCAATCCTACTATATTTAATATTATTCATAAAATTAAATTATACAAACCAATCATTCTTACACATCATATCAACTTTAATTCATTATTCATCTACTCACATAATTTTAACTATCTATTATTTTCAATCATTTTCAATCATTTATCTCATACTTTTACATCAAATCAATTTTAATCATTTTATTTTAAATATTATTTTAATACATTATTAAAATTCCACTACCAACTAAACATATTACCTTTTCAAAATTAACTATGGTTAACCAAAATAACTTATTTTGAACAAATTATTCCATATTCAAAATTAACTATGGTTAACCAAAATAACTTACTTTGAACAAATTATTCCATAAACAAATGCCCCCTTAATATTTGAATTATTTCATTCCAATTTACAATAAGAATACAAATTCATTTACTCAAATTTTCTTGTATAATTATATTTTCGTCAAAGAACTGTGTGGAAAGGATATTATACTACTTAAATAAAATAACTTAAATGTACGAGAGGTAGCCTAGCGATTAGGCAATTGTATATATTTTTTTTTGAACAGATATGCATACTTTCAACCCGCCTAAGTCATATTTTAGATTAATTTATGTTATATAATAAGTTAAATTTATTAAAAAAAAGAATACTGACAAGCAATGGAGAAGGTGAGAAGAAAACAGTTGGGGGATGAAATATTATATTGGGTGCATGAATCATCAATGGGTTGGCTGTATAAAATAAATACATATATATAAAATAAATATATACTCTTTTAGCAAAATCTGTGCTATGGTTGGGAGTAAGTAGATGGCCTCCAAGTTAGGCAGCCTCTGTTTTAAGTAGGTGACCAATAACTATACACNTTTTTCTGCAATATATCAACAAATTAATGCAATCACTTAACTAGAACATTTTTTTTTTAAAAAAAAAAAGCAAAAAAATACAGAAGAGTGAAAAAAGAGAAAATAAAAACCTTGTTTTGGTCCTCGAAAGATTGGTGTGTTTGAGGCATTGTATCAATACTCGGTGGTGGGGCTGAACTAGCAGCAGTCCCCTTAGACTTCTTTTCGTCTCGTGCCTTTGCAAAAATCACAGTAAATCCATCGGCCGAGGCTGGATCATTCACATCCCACTCCCCGAATTTGGGCAGTGGTCTGCCTTTTTCATGCTATATATNTCACCCAAAAAAAAAAAAAAGTCAATTATGCCTGGAGATATAGTGTAACTTTTCATGTTTTCCACATGTAAAGACTCTTTACATTGCTATAAAATCCACATGAGAAGATTATATTTTAGACATTTAGGCAATTTTGGTTTAGATATCAGCAAAGGAAAGTCAAAATAAATATGAGGGGCAAGGAAACTGCAAATCCAACAAATTAGTTCAAGAGGAAATTAATTACCTATTTTTATTTCTATCATATAACATCAATATGCAGATAATCCAAACACAACTTTACAGGGATTACAATTGAGGATTTGTGAGTAACATGTAGAAAATGGACAAATTTTCTATCCTCGTAATTATAATTTTGACACGAAGCACCCAAAACAATTATTGTTTCGAAAATCAAACAAATATTGGCAAAAATTAAACATTCAGCCAAAAAGATTAATGTCTGCATTAAATTTGCTAAAACAACTCAACCGATTATATGAAAAATAAGAAAGCAAAAATGATTTTAAATAATAATGGTATAATGGAAACTTACAGACGCCATTAAGATGGTAGATTTTGCCTCAAGGTGGAAGAGATGAATGAATTATGTTTTTTCTAGAGAGAGGAGAATTCACGAGTCTTTAGGAGGAGGGAGATGCAGATGGAATAATAATAATAATAATAATAATAGTAATAATAATAATAATAATAATTATTTAAGCATAGAAGCTAGATTCTATGTATTGTTATGGTTCACGTTATTATCAATCACATAGTACGTACACTTCCAATGCGCCATATAAAGTTGATACAATTATTATTTTAATTTGCAAGGTAAAATGTTTTACTATATGTTATTAAGCTGACAATACAAATTTATTCGAGGAGATGGCTTGTATTCTAGTCCATCCTTTATAAACCAGTTGCAACATAAATTATTGTGTAATGGAGCTTAAATCGGATCCATCTTTAATACTTTGTGAGAAAAACATGTAACTATTAAATATCATATTTATAACTATAGTTTCTTTTAAGCATAACATTTTTTAACAAAAATATGCATATTTCTCAAATGAGTTTATAAGTCTAATGGGGGCTTTTCAATCTATATATAACTGTGAAAATGAAATCAATATCTGTTTTCTAACTTCCAGACTATGTATGTAAACATACATTCTGGGTGTCCCATAGAAAAAGGAAGAAAATAAATATTTTTTACCCCAACAACGGAATCATATGTATGAACCCAATTCTAATTATTTATGATTTGCTAGCAAGACATGCCAAATTCTTAATGTCTGACATGGTTCTTGCATGAACTGCCAACAATAGATTCAGTTTGCACAATGTACTTACTATAAATAGAGATCCCCGAAAATCTCCACAAAATCCGGTAATAACACGAACAATTATAAACAAAAAGTCATCATCATCATCATCATCATCATCATCATGTTCGTAAGGCAAATGAAGTCCGCAGTTGCTTGTCTGATAATTCTTACAATCTGTAATGTGCCTCAGTCACAAGTTACTGTCTCCAGCACTCGATACATTACTGTAACAGGTACTTTTAACTCGGGATATTCAGTATTCTAGATTATTGTGATATTACAATACAGCCACCAGTTTGCACCAAGTGTTGCCAAGGTGACCCTTGATATGCAGGCATCATCCTATATGGATTCATACAGTTGCAGAAATGTCAAATCGAATGTTAGATTGATATATGGTAATAATCAGTCTTGTGATTCGAACATTGGGATTGTCTGATCTCAATGGAATTTAACCTGAAGTGATGCAATCTGGAGGAGGATCGACTAGTATAGTTTCTCAGTTTTTGTTTTATTTTTTTTTTTGGGATGAGTATTCTTTGAAAAGAAATTAAATGGAATGCTCTTCATGCACGTGCGAGTTGGAAAATGAATTTTCACATCAATTTCCCAAGCAAACCCAATGAAGATGGGTTGTAATATCATATTACAATCAGTGTGTAAATAAGGGAAAACAGAATAGACTTAAATATACGAAACCAACCATATTAGGCTCATCTGGAAAAGTTTCACTTTTTCTTTACGTATATGTTTTAACAGTAATACTAAGGAACCAATTGTTGGCTTCGTTATGGAGCCAACAACCAATGGGACAGCTCCATGTGGGGCTGTCCCACATTGGAGCCATGTGAGACAGCCCCACATGGAGCTGTCCCATTGGCTGTTGGCTCCATAACAAAGCCAACAGTTGGCTCTTTAGAGTTACTATATGTTTTAATTGATTCTCAAATTATCTTCCCGTGCCAAACATGATAAACATACAAACAAAATATCCAGCAATTGCAAGACACCCATTTCAAATTCTTGAAAAATCTCACTCTGGGGAGCAATTACCTCACTAAATTGAGCCAAAAGAAGCTAGTTTTTCCTTGAAAGTCCGAGAAAAAAAGCAGCAGATGAGATTTGGACTCTAAGATCGGCAATATCAACATCATGACCACCTTCAACCAAACCCCATCTGTCTACCTGTAAATCTTCCTCCAGCCTAATCAACTCAATTGGCTGCTGGATATTCAATCGGCCGCGAAAAATTCCAATTGCTATGATCAATGAGTGAGCAGCTGCAGCAATTGCAGCAAGTTCACAGTCATCAGTCTTCTTAAGAACGTTCTCAACGGCTTCGACCAAACCCTCCTCTTGTTTCCCGCCAAAAATACTTGTGTACACAACGGGCTTAAACCCGAATTCTGATTCCACCCACTTAATGAGAGGACCAAATTTTTCCACTTGAAGCTCTGTGTATTGTTGCAAATGCATATATATAAGTAAGTAGGATAGCCTCATTCAAGCCAATAAATTCCAAATTCCCACAGTAGAGATATTTGATTGTCTCACAACACACAATAAAACTGCTCCAATGTGTAAAGTCAATTATTACCAAAATTTTTTCAATGAGAGTTAAAAGAAAACAGTATATGGGTCTCCAGAAATGAAACAGAAGCATTCAAAAAATCCTCATATTAAACAATTATTTATCAAAACACGCAGTATAGAAGTAAATATAACATATAGAAGCACTCTGCATACCTCGGAGATCTTTTGTTAGATCATTGTCCCTTGGGGCACGACAAAAAATCAGATCTTGGTGGAATTTTCTCATCAAATGTTTGATTATCTTTGGCCTAGTTACCGGAACTCTTTCCAATGCCGTACATGCGAGCTTCATCAGAGGCATTGTGAAGGGTCTTATTCCATCTGATTGCTACAAGAACAAAAATTCTATCATCCAGTGCACATTGAAGCCAGACCCAAATTCACTATAGAACATTCTATAATTCTTATGACACCAAAATCTTTAACATCGCCTTAAATTCAAATACGCGTCAGTCTAGAAATATCCACGCATAATAAACAACGAACTGAAAGATCTACAACTTCCAAAGTTAACAACTAGGCATATAAATTAGGATCAAATCATACAGTACAAGCGGCAATGCAGCTGGTACTCCCACTCATCTGCAATAGCCTTGGCAAGAGCTAAAGTAGGGCACTTGAGATTTCGCTTCGACGGCGTTTTGAGCGTCCTGTAATCGAGCATCACGCTCCATCCAATAACATCATCAGCTTCTCTCGTCGTCACCTTCTGGTAGAACCGCTTTCCGACGATCGAACCGGTCATGAAGGACACAGGAATCGTCACGGACGACGTCGATATTTTGGGGCCCTTGATGTACAATTTTTCATCCCCACTACAGTCCTCGGAAGATTTCGAACGGTCGTGCCCGCCGGAGGAGAAGGTGAAGGATGCGGCGTCGTCTTCCGATTTTCGGGCTGCCGGAGCGACGCTGAGCTGGCGGTTAGTGGAGGTAAGAGCTGTGAGGGCGTAAGGGTTGAGGGTTTTTAGGGTTTTTGTCAGCATCGACGACGCCATTTTCGCGGTCAGAGAGGGCGACGGAGAAAGAGATCGCGGTGAGTGTGTAGCCGGAATTTGAACGCTCAAGTCATTAATGGGCTTTTGGGTTTGGAATCAGGCCCATATAATAGTTCTAGAATCGGTGGTCCACAACACTTAGTAGGTGTAGTCTTTCATTTTGGCAAAAGGCCCAATGTAGTCCTACATAATAAAACAGCTAATTAGTCCTTGTTAGGCATTTTTCAAATAGGTGTCACCAAAAAATATCATGAACTTACGTAAATTGCATACTAACTATCAACTTTTCTTTCGTTTGTAATTTAATTTCAATCTTTCAATTTGATTATAAAATATACTAATTTTCGACTTGCAATTCAAACAAACAATCAAAGAATGAATTGTTAGAGATTTATGTGTCTGACTCGTTATCTAACGTGAATAAAACAGTTGCTTTAAAAAAAATAGTGCTCTTGCTCAATTTGTAATATTTGAAAAAATTAAGGAGAATTTTAAATTCTCAACACACTTCCCTTTATTGACGGTGAATGCCAACATATTTTAATGTCACACATATTACATGTCGTTTCTCCATTCACATCGGATAATTAGTAGTAAGAAATAAGAATCCAATGTCCAGTTCGTTGATTGCGTGCATGATATTTGGAGAACAAAAAAAAACTGGTGTATTTTATAATTTTATTATTAAAATTGAAAATTTGAAACGAAAAATCGAAATTTGGCATTTAATACGCAATTCAATCTTAACTAAAAAAAAGTACCCAAAAAAAAAANGGGAAAAAAAAAAAACGCAGAAAAAGTGTGAGGATGCAAGAAAGAAACAGTCGCCAGTTGTCCAGGTGAGCTCCATACCCATTCTTTAACCATCATCCGAAGCTTCAGTCTCACAAAATCAAGAAAAGCCGCTGGTTGTTGAGAATCTGGACATCCCAGCTGACCACATTCACATTTTTTAGTTTCAGCAGTGTAGTGTCACTCAGTCGGTCTGTAGCCCAGCTTACCTGGCGGACTCGTTCTTCCCTCTTTATCTTCTCCGCCGCGATTTTCACGTACTAATTTCGGTGGTCCACTCTCTATTTATAAGGATGAAGGTTGTTTTCACGGCACAAGGCCTCAAAATCCAAACACTTTGTAGATTTTTAGTAATCAATGGCGTCTTGGGATTCAGTTCAGCTCAAGGTGTTGTACAATGTGTTTGGATGGGTAGCCTTCGTCTCCTGGTCCATATGTTTCTACCCACAAATCCTCTTGAATTACAGACGGAAAAGGTTTCACCTATTTTCACTTTTTCACGTTTTGGGCTCTTTTGTTTTCTTGAATTTTGCTGATTCTGATGATGGGTCTTCAATTTTTTGGTTGAATTTCATTTTTGGGGGTTCAGTGTGGCAGGGTTGAATTTGGATTATGCACTGCTGAATATGGTAAAGCAGTTGGCGTATTTGATCTACAATGTTTCCATATTGTTTAGTCCAACAGTGAAAAAGCAATACCATAGAAAATTTGGGGATGATAAGGTATATCATTAATAAGCAATGCTGGTTTTGTATGATTGTATCCTTCATTTTGAGGGACTTTTGTTTGAAGGATGTGAAAGGGATTTGCTGTTGTGATTTTTTTGCAGATGTTGCCTGTTGCTCAAAGTGATCTGGCTTTCTCCATACATGTTGTTCTTGTGTCTGCTTTTTCAATGTATCAGATTGCAATTTATGATGTACGTCGAGTGTAATACTGATCAGAGTATTTTTTTTTCTTCTGGAAAAATACTTAAATGTATTCACTGAATCTTGTGTTTGATTATTTTACAGCGTGGGACACAGAAATTCTCCAGATTATACGTCTCGATTGTTGCTATATTCTTGTTAGCAGCTGCAGTTTGTGTGGGCATAGCTATACCACATCATTCTTGGTTCTGGCTGGTGTCCTGCTTAAAGTGAATGCCTTTTTTTCTCAATTAATCGACATAATTCTTTCATTTAATTACAGCTTGCTCGTTTATTTTTTATGTTCTAACTCTTTGAAATCACTTGTGACAGCACAATTCAGGTTGTTATGACGATCGTCAAATACATTCCTCAGGCGAGTAGAAATAATCTTATCATTTCAAGATTTTTGAATTCTTGTTATTTCCTAGCCATCCTTAAGGTGAACATGTTTTGTGGTAAGAGTCTGTTTATTAATTTGCATGAAAATTGGTATCACTATCTAAGCTTAGGTCGTGTACAACTATCGTCGGAAAAGTACAAGCGGATTTAGCATTGGCAATGTTTTACTCGATTTACTTGGCGGCATCGCAAACAATATTCAAATGCTCATGCAATCCATAGATCAAAGTGAGTTCTCAATCAACTGAACTGAATCATCTGCTAAAGATATGATAATATATCTGAAGATGAATTCCTGATGTGACTATTTTCACAGAATCTTGGGAGAATTTCTATGGGAACATAGGGAAATCATTGTTGGCTCTGGTATGAAATGGCCCTTGGTGTAATTTTAAATCTCATTTTGTTTATAAAAGAATTTTAATCGAGGGAATGTTTTTTTATTTTGCAGGTGACAATTGTGTTCGATCTTATATTAATGGCTCAGCATTATCTGCTTTATCCCACCAAAAAGGCACCTTCTAGTCCGACTGTTGTAAGCAAGAAAGACTCAATCTGTAGAATTAACCTATTGAACAATGCAATTCTGTATAAATCTGTGTACACTACGAACAAAATACTAAACGGATGGGAAAAAAAAAGTATCATTGCACACCATGATTTTTGATTCTGTTGATCATATTCTCTGTCTGGCCTAGGTAAAAATGGAGCTACAAAGAGACAATGCTGAGCAATGCTGAGATGATTTTTTACATTGAAATGTACTTTGGCCAGCACAGCAGTCTTGAAGCTCAATTGCCGTTTAATTCCAATATTAGGAGTTCTCCTTCAATATTTGCAGGTTTGATGTCTTGAGCAATTGAAGAAGCACTTTGATAAACAGATCATGAAATATTTTTTGACTATTGTAATATGTAATGTGAGATCATGAAAAAAATGCATCAAGGATTTAGAGCTGTCATAGTCAAAGCAATGGACCAGACTATTTATCTATTTTTTGACTTTTGAATGAAGCTAGTTTTAGATGATAAACAACTTGTGCCCCAACTAATTTTGATTCTTTTTCTTTTCTTTTCATGTACAATTGTTTTTGTTTTGCATTCTCATTAAAAATTATATAACTGTTGGCTATGTGCCCAAATTTTCGAATGAACTTTAAATCCAATATTTCATTTCACATTTTTCAGTCACCAATCTTGTGCAATGTTAACATGACACTCAACTTTTACCACATTTGCTGTCATATTTAACAATGCTATCAAAATTTATCAAAATTTTTCTCGAAAAACAAAATGAAATACTGTCATAAGTTCTTGTATAAGTTGGGATAGAACTTACACATTCACTTCTTTTAATTAACTTATAATTGGATTGTCCCTACCAATTGACACAAAATCTTTTAATAGCAACTAATTGACAAGTGATTTCCCATAGTTCTTGTAGAAGTTTGAGGTTATTTACCAATAGTAGTCATCACACATTTGATTCTGGAAAGGAAAGTGTAAACTGTATAGACAATCCTCAGAAAACTCAACCGAAAATTTGAAATCCGAATATGAACTGCATATTTGCGTTTTTGCGATATTTTTTAACCTCTAATCCACCTTCATAAACAATTGAATGATTTGAAAGAACTGTGCACACTAGTCCTCGATTGCTGCTTGAAAATCGGACCCACATGCTGATGAGTAATGAACGATCCATTCCGGTAATGTATTTGAGTAGAAATGAAATTTCGCTTTGATGGCGAACGTTATTACTTTGATGTATTATTGGAAGCACTGTTCTTTGTTGAGGATGTTGGAGGTGGAGGGGGAGTAGGCACTAATGTCTGCATAAATGGAAAACCAAACAAGGAAACATTTGAAGGCTTTACAGGAGTTTTTGCTAAGTTTTGGACAGAAAAAACAATTGGCTACTCAGTTGAATTTTTCATTATCTACTTGAAAGCAGCAATTGAGGGTGTACTTTATGTACCTTTTCAACTTTATTATCTCTTGTGTTTTCTCCATTCTCATAAGAGTCGAGCAGAGGTTGAGCTTTGAAACAAAAGCTGCAGCTCAGTTTTTTAACTCGCTTTCCTGCTTTGTCCTGTGAAGCAATTGTGAGATTGACATCATTTATCAAATCATTTTTCCTCAAAATTATGCGATCATCATGAAAAGACATGATGAGACGATTAGATAACTAAACTCCACAATACGTTAATGTACATCAAGCTCAGAAACAAAATATGCACACAACAGAAGGGCATTGCCTGTTTTCTTTTCTTAGCGGATGATATTGGTGACTGCAGTTTGTTTCGACAGGCAGTTGATGACTTGGAACAGCTGGAGACAAAGCAAATTTGTAAGGAACTCAAAACTAGTTCTCATTTATTCATCATTAATTGTCATCACACTTCAAATCTTTCGTTCTTGCAAATGTTTGTCTTACATTATGGAAAAGATGCGCCACTTCGCGCCAGTTTTGCTTCCAGTGGTCAAGGGATCAACTGGCATTTTTAATCTGCTTATTATAAAAGTGTAAAATATGTCATTGCTCTGTAACAATTAGCATTAACACACTAGACTTACACAGATCAATCAAATATTAGAGACAAGTAAAGTATTTGAAACCTGTTCTCTGATTGAGAGGTAGGTTCTGCATATGAGGACACAACTTTAACTGATGCCTGCATTTAGGGAAAATAAAACGGAAATTAAATGAATTTTTACCGCATATAACTATAGTTTCTTCCAATAAGCCACATTATGCAGAGAATCACCACAGCTGAATTTTTAGAGGCAAAAATTGGGTCTCTATCAAGCTCTGCAGAAGGAGCTAACTTCAGTAAGGCATGCAAAGACTTTGAAGATGATCTCTTTTTGCTTCGACTGGCATTACTATGGATATTTTCTGCATCTTTCGGACCGTTTTCGATAAGAGCATCCAATGTATGCTCGTTAACATTTTTTACGCTACTTTGCTTTGGATTCTTAACTTCATCAACCTTCTCCATTTTCACATCAACAGAAGCATTATAATCATCGTCAGCTGATTCGGATTCTGCTTGAGAGGCATTTGCCGCCTTTTGGGCTGCGATTCTCTTGTAATGGGCCTCGAAGAAGGCCTTTTTCCGGGCCACGGACCCAGGCTGTGAATATCTCTCAGCCTCCTCCACGTACTTCTTGTGTGAAGAAAAAGCTGACCATTTTTCCCATGACAAGGACTGATCCGTCATGAACCTCCCGAACGAAATGGATTCACCGAGAGCATGCTTCGTATTCCCCTGAAACGCGTGTAAATTTTTTCCCATTTTTGAGAATTTTTTAACAGTTTGTCATGAAATTTTTGTTCTGCACAAATCACTAGAATTCAAATGTTATTTACAATTGAAAGGAAAAACAGAAAAGGTGTTAGTCTTTTATTTTATTTTATTTTATTCAGTTTTGATTACCTGTAAGGATTCACTGAATATTGCAGAAGCATATGGGAATCCATGCATGACACAAGCTGTATCTCCCATTCTATTTGCTGCAGTTAAGCAAAAGAAATCACCTTAGAAACAGAATTTTGAAAGAAAGACACAACTTCTTGAGAAAAACACAGTACAACACAAGAAAGCAGATCTTTGTTTATCTTTTTTTTTTCTGCATGTGCTGTGCTTTTCCCGTTTTCGTTATGGCTTAAAACTTCGACATTTAGGGACGTAAATTTGAAATTCAAATAAAAAAGGAAAAAGTGAACGTTTGGAGAAAATGTAGGCCAACAGGTAGATGAGAGCTGCAGTATGCACT